CAGTTGTTTTTTGTTGTCATGTATAAAAATAAATGAGTTTAGTGTAGATATCGTTTAAGATAACTTAAAAGGATGTCTGTGTGCATTCTTTCTATGCGCACTTCTGATAACGCTGTTTATTTATTGATCATTCCCCCGTTTGGCAACAGACTTCATTAATAGTGAATCGTGCCTCGATGACATATCCTCTTTGTGTGGTAAAATGAAAGGCGATAAACCGAAAATGGATGAATGAATTGATGATTTATCGCTATCAATGTGAATGAGCATGTGTGTGTGTGTGTGTGTGTTTGTTTGTGTTCATACAAAGGCGATGGAATGGCTATAATTGGAATGATTTAGAGCAGTATGGCAAGCCAAGAACACTGTATTTATTGTGTAGAATAATTTATCTTTTATACATCCGACTAACCACAATGAGGCAAATTCAGTGAAATTATAGCTGTTCATTAACTTATTCGTGGTTGAACATATTTATCTGAAAAATTGCAAGATCAGCATTAGCCGTCTGAAGTTGGTCAGATTGATAAGTCAAGTTAATTTAATGAGATTGTTCGTTGTGAGTGAGAAAATATGTTTGTGCACGTAAGTTGAGGAATGTATTAAGTGAACGCATTCTATCAAGTTTTCCCCTCAACTCAATGACAATAGAAATTGATGCAATCGCCAGGTTGTCTGCTTGAAAACCGAAAATTTCCCGAAATCGGTGAAGCCATCGTCAAGAAAGTAATATCATATCAAATGTCTGACGTTGCAGGTTGGGAAACGAAAACGTAAATCAAAAGGAAGTGCGAAAACGCAAGATGTTGAAATGGCCCAGGCAGATGATGGCACCAAAGAAAGCACAAAAATCATCGAAGATGATGGTCAAGATGTGCCGACGCGTGAGAAGCGAGTCCGGGGCACGAAGGCTGAAATCAGGAAGATTCCGGTTCCACCGCACCGATACAGTCCGTTGAAAGACAATTGGGTGAAAATATTCACGCCGATTGTCAAGCAACTTCATTTGCAAATTCGGTATTTCTTCCAGTCGTATCTCAAAAACTTTTCTGCAGCCAATAATCATATGTATGATAAACAATCTACGCTTTTTTGACAGTTTTGCCGTTTTCATTTGACGATATTGATTCGTGAATTGTAAGCAAAGTTTGGTTGAAATTGTACAAAATTTGATTGATATAGTTGTAAAAGAGTCATATTTGCTTTTTTTTACTCATTGTCAGAAAAAGAATCGTATTGTTCCTGCTACATCTTGTATTGTTCCACAATTATTTGCATTCTTAGAAACAATTCACTAGGTTAATTCACCCTGAACTTCACCAAAGGAGAGTTTTTCTTAAGTTTTCTTAAGAATCACTCTATGAGTTGTTCCACTCTCAGTTTCACTGGAAAGATCGAGTGCTAGTGAAGAGTAATAGGTGCACTTATGGAACAACGAAATCGCAACATTTTGAAATAATCGTCTATATTGTCTTGAAGTTAAAAAATGTTGATACAAAGCACTGGTAAATGGTATGACTGATGACTTTGTTGGTGTTGCGTTTCACTCATTGTTCTCCAGTTTTCAAATCATCCGAAAGCTTTGTTCAGTCGTACAAAACTCATTGTTGTTACTAGTTTTAATCGTCTACAATTCATTTCTGTTGAACTGCGCTCATTTGTAAAATAAGACGAGCCGCGATCGATCACAACTCGTGTACCTATTGTCTGGTATTCTAACGTATGGTGGTTACTGATCGATCCATCGAAAAATGTCACGTGTAATTGATTTGAATGCTAGACATCAGTAGAATTGTCTGTCTGCTGTTGAAATATTATTTCTGAAAAAAAAAACCATTTGACTCATTGCATTTGAGTGGTTTGTTTATTTATCCTTCGCTTATTTTTGAAGTACGTTTTATTACAAAATGCTAAAAAAATATTGATATATACCTTGAAAAAAGCCAAAAAAAGCGATTGGGTTTAAAGTGGGTTACTGTTTAACGTAGAAAAGAGATTGATTGGCAGATTTTTATGCAGCTAAATTACAACGTTGTAAATTGCAAGAAGTAAATTACAAATTAGTCTTCAGGTGTTAAAACAATGGCCAACTTTTTAATGTAACAATTATTTGCGGTGTTTTTTTGGCTATCTATCATAGTGAGTCATATTGGAAAATAGTTTATCTTAAGAAGTTTGCAAGCTAAAGAATTTCATCGTCTTTCCTTGGATCTTCATCATCTTATTGTTAGATCATTGGATTTTTATCGATTCGTCATGTTGGATCGTTCGAGAATTGAAGCATGATCAGACCATATTTTTGAATTTGTCTACACACACCTGTCTGTACAGTCGAATTGCTTAATCTTCACACTCCTGTTATAGTTCAATAGCAATGAGGTGAAGCATGTAGTGAATTAGCACAAGATCGTTTTGCTTTATGCACAAGAATATAACGTAGAAGAAGAGAGAATATGCCAGTGATCATTATCACATATTGACATTCATTATCATGCAAATAAAAACTTATATTGGACCCTAAAAACAACTAAATAAAAGGATGTATGTAATCATTTTTAGGTTCAACTTGAAATCACGAAATGTTGAGATCCGTAATTCGACTGATTCGGATGACTTAACTAATTTGCAAAAGGTATGTTGCTTTACATCTATGCATATTGTAATGTGTCTAGCAAATTCGTTTGGCTAGAATTGTGGTATGGTGACTGGGTTTAAATTGATACCTGACATTGCGTTAACTCACCAGTTAATCTGTTATCAAGACCAACATTACTATTTTGCGCGCCTCATCTCCCTTTCCTGGCCCTGCAATCAAGCAAGAATTCGAAAGTCGTTATCGTAATAAGGATCGTTGCCATAAGGAAAATAGTGCCTTCAAGAAATAACTTGGTTTTCTTTGAATTGTCTGCGTTCAAATAAACATATGTCCTAAAAATTAGCATTTGAAATCATTCATTCGTTGGAGCATTCAACAGCTACCTAACTAGATGATGAGCACGTAGAATCACCTTCAATTAATCATTTGAAACATTGCTATTATCAGCGAAACGTTAGTAACGAAACAGCCTCTTGACAGCAATCATGTATCATTTATTATGCGCCATTACATGCACGCCATCTTCATCATGCTTCTTTGAACTCATCTTATCATTGTTTTTAAGTTACGCTTTTCGATCGCCTCCTGCTGATTAAAGACTAGATTTATGAGCGAATTTCTTGCAAATGCGCTCTTCTGTTTTTATTGTAGAGGTTGATGGGATGTATTACATGTCAGATATTTGACTGTTGCGTGAATTGGAATAAAATAAATTAGCAGTCATAAATCTGGTGTAGAAAACAAGAGTGGTTATGTGTTTTTACATGATGACTTGACATGACAGTGCTTGCTCTCTTCAGTTTGCATCATTCATTGAATTTTTTTCTGTTCTTTGCAAACAGTTTTATTTTTGGAGATGAATTGCATGGGCTGAGACTACGAATACTTCGTGATCATGTTGAAGTGATACGCTTAACATATCAAATTAGGTGGTTTGAATGTGATGCATGAATAGTGGGTGATTTATTTCTGGAGAAAGAATGAATGATAAATGAGCGAATGAATGAATCCATTTAAAGGGTGTGTAACAAATTAGAAGAAAATTGCGTAAATTATCGACAGATTCCGAAAATTTGTCAAAAAATATGAGAAGAGAGTAATATCTAATTGTCCGTT